CTGCCTCGCCCGCAGATCGGCTAGAGTAAAATCGAGCATATCCTCCAGCCTCACCTATATACCTGGACCTTGGCTCCTATGTGCCCCCACATCATACTTAACTCTCGCGGCAGCTTATCATGGTATACTCGGCCGTTTCCTAGAGTGAACTCGGGCTTTGGGGTCTGGGGTTTTTAAAATTTAAACCAAACCGACTGGGGCGTACTCGGGGGGACCTCGGGTGACTTCCCCTGGGTCCCGGGCTAGTTCCTGGCACCTATTTTCTGGGTCGGTCGGTCGGTCGGTCGGTCGTCGTCGTCGTCGTCGTCGCCGCCGCCGCCGCCGCCGCCGCCGCCGCCGTCGTCGTCGTCGTCGCGCGCGCGGGGGAGTTTCGAACCTAATTCAGTCGCAGGGCGACCGTAGAGAGGTGATGAGTTGCCCCATGCCAGCTGTCACGGCATATGAACCCGGGGATGCAAAAATCGAGTGGGGGCGCGCCCCGCAGTCGCAGTGATCGACAGTCTCGCCGCGGAAGGCCGCCAGCAGGATTTTTTGCGCTCACGAACCCCGTCGTCGCTGCCCGGCGCAGCACGCGCGCTTTTCGTGCACCACCTGGCGCAAAACGGCGAGGTGCCGGCGCATCACATCATCGCAGCGTTATCCGTCGGTCGAAACGATGCAGTTTTGTACGATTTCGATGAAGTTTTCAATGATTACTTCAATGAACAACCCGACGCGTTTGCTCTTGCTACGAGCCGCGGTCCTCACACTTAATTCACCGGCCGCGCTGAGCTTACGGCGCCCGCCGTCGGAAGCGGTTGGTGGTCCAAGTAAGCAAAATCTTACCGATGGCGACGCGCGGTGGAAAATTCCAGAGTGCTGGCGGGGACGAATGGGCAAATTTCTTAGAAAAATGTTCGCACTTAATTCGAGGGCCTGTTCCACGCGTCCAAACGCGTCGGTTCCTGAGGACTTGGAACAACGCGGGTTAACTTGTCCTCCCCGGAACCCCTCAGCTCAAGTCAGCTCCTAGCGCCTGCGAGACTTTCAGCATGTACATGTACAATTCTTAATTAAATCATTTCCTAATAAGAACACCGAGTTACTTGCTGGCTGTAGTAATCCCCCCCCGGAAGTGCTGGCTGTAGTAGTCGTCTCCCAGCTCCTGCCTGCAGTGCCGGGAACCGAGATTTCATGGAGTTTTCCAGAGCAAGATAGTGGGAGTTGCAAACGGCGAAGTGGACGCAAACATAGATCCCTCTCAGTCAATAATCTCCTGAAGTCCACCGAGAGCAGTAATTCCCTACTAGCTCGATCGCTCCGGAGCTATAACATAACGTAGTCTGGTCCGCATGGGTTCGTCTGTGTCAACCACTGCCAAGGACACAAATCCAAATCTAATTCTAGTCGGAGATCAGCGACCACGAGGAAAGCGATCTGGCGAAATAAATATGCATTCACCAGATCCGGCTTTGTTCGATCAAACATTCACAGCTGATATAATTGCTTCGTGCTTTTTGCACGCCGACGAGATCCAGGAGCGGCTCACGAGGTCCCCTGCGCGGCACATTCTGATGGGAGAATACCGTTCGTGTGCCTATGCTGCCCTCATGTTTCGCGGTCTATACCCTGACCAGATGGGGAAACCATGTCAAGATTCCTATGTCATCAACGAGGCACTGTTTCCAGGCCGTGATGAATACACGGCACACTGGTTCATGATCTTTGATGGCCACGGACCCGACGGCCACGAATGTGCGTGGTACTGCCGTGACAATATGGAACATGTTGCTGACCAGATCCTAGAGCGGGAACCTAGAATTTCAATACCTGATCTGCTTGTCCAAACAAACGAAACTGTTGATCGCAACCTTCATAAAAACTTTCATATCCCATCAGATGACTCAGGTAGCACAGCTGTATCTGTTCTGGCCATTGGAAGCACGTTATATTGTTCAAATGTTGGTGATTCACGTTGCATCCTCGGCGTGCGAAATCCAGCCGGTAAGGTTGGCGTTGCTGTGTTGGGCAGATAAATCAAGCATGTGATCCTTTATCATCCTCTTAGGTTGTACCAAAGGCACTGTCCTCTGATCAGACACTATACCGTGCAGATGAGCGACAGCGTGTTCTAGATCTAGGCGGGCGTGTTTTGTCAATAGGACAGATCGAAGGTCGAGTACCCATCAATCATGAGTTTGTGTGCGAGTTAGGAGATGAGATTGATCAGAATGGTGACCCTCCACGGATTTGGTTACAGAAAAAATTTGAACCAGGCTGCGCTTTCTCGCGTAGCCTTGGTGACAAAATTGCGGAGACAGTCGGCTGTGTTGCAACTCCTGAAATAATGGCGCATGAGCTTAGTGATGACGATGTCGTCTGTATTATTGCCTCAGATGGAGTCTGGGAATTCCTCACGAACCAGAATGTTGTGGATATCTGCCTTGCAACTCTAGACCCGTGCTGTCACACTGCAGACTCCTTTGAGATAAATTTCAGCACTGTGATTGCAGGTATACCGCGAGTTATAAAATTGTCTCAACTGCATACCAAGAATGGTATGAGCAAGAAGAGCGAATAGACGATATCTCAGTCATAGTTTTGTTTTTTGGTCGACATGAGATGCAGCAAAACAACGATCAAAATGTGCGCCTAGACACCCTCCCTAAACGCTCCAGGCGTGGATCGCATGCCAAGCTGGCCGTTGAATTTGAGAAGACAGCTTCAATTTTGCCCGTAGAAGAGAGAAACACGCGCCGTGGCAGCTTTTCCCGCCTTGGTTTTTCCAAGACAAGAGGATCCATGGATGCATAAAGTCAGTGCTGAAATCTCCATCGATGAACCTCACCTGCGCCTGGTGCTTTTTCGAAGTCAGAGTGCGTATGTTAGCTAGTTGGTAGTATGGCAAGTAAGCGTAGGTAGGTTGAGCAATTTTAGCCGGAATCTTAGATAGCCGACCAGGCAGCAAGCAACCTCGCTCGATCGAGCGAGCGCGCAGCACTGTAAGAAGTTCGGTAGATCATCATGATGGGAATCTTCTTACATTTGTGGACGTTAGGAGCCGTAGTAGCCAGGTTTGCGAGGTAACAGGGGCGGTATGCAGCTCGTAAGCTAGACACAGCGTAGCATTGCTGACCCACCGTGGAAGTTCGTTTCGATGTGCATTTGCTATTCATCTGCATACTAGAGCTTGTCACCCTTGTTCATAAGCATCTGCATATTAAAGCTCGCTAACTTCCCCAATATCAGGCTTCACCTTCTCACTCCTCCTGGCGACCACACGTTTTTGCTTCTCCTTCTTCTGATGGCGCTCTGCACGGATGTTGGTGCCCATCTGCTGGTCATATTTGTCTTCCTCCTCGTGAATATACGCCTCAATCTCATCCTCGGACATACCGCGCTCTTCCATGTCCTCGAGGAGTATTTCTTCCATCTCCAAAGGTGTGTGCATCGCCATGGGGTTGCCCATGTCGGCCATATTCTGTTGCATCTGCTCAGCCTGGACTACTCGGTGGTCGATTTCGACGAACTCGTAGTCTTCTCGCACCTTGTCACCAATGACTGCGTCTATTGGTATTCGAGTTTCGTAGTTGCACCGATCCGTGAGATGGTGGCAAAGGAGCTCGCGTGTCTGCTCTGGATCCGCGACATCGCCGTGCCAGAGAGCAAGCGCAAATTGGTCCACGTCCTCAAGCTCATCCTCGAAAATAAGATCGCAGGATTTTTTTACCGTCGCAGTTTCTCGGTCCCACTTTCGCACTTGATTCCGCCGCTCGACGAAGAGAAAACGGGCATTATTCAACTCCATGGCGGCGATTTCCGACTCACTTGGCTCGTTCCAATAGCGGCTTCCCTTGACGCTCGAAAGCTTCTCTGTCAGATCGACAGTCCACATCCACTCGCCGGCCTTGCGCTTGCGGTCACACACATCACTTATTGTCTGGATAATGTCGTCCTCCGAAAAGGCAGACCTACCAGGCCATCATAGGTTGTTACACATGCAAAGAAAACACACTTTTTAACTTTTTTGCCTGGGTGCTTCATTTCAGAAATGATCGGTTTGTCCTACAGGAAGCACACGACGTCCTGCAGGTATGTGCTCACTGATGCCGCACCTTGAGCTTTTCCATGGTGTCAAAGTATACTGAGAAAGCCACGAGCTCGCAAACGTCGCACATGATTGGGTAGAGATCATCTTTGACGTGGATCGGTTCCCGCATACGCTGCCTTTGTGGATTGAACAGCAAGTCTGGCGACTGCGCCGCGGCTCCACCAAGCAGGGACGTCAGCACAAAAAGATCGTTGTACATCTTGACCGAGGACAACCGAGATACAATAGTACAGGTCTGAATATTAAGGAATGATACAAGATATAGAATGATATAGTTGTATTAGGAGCTGGGTGTGCCTTCAACATGGGCTCCACCCATAGAGAGATAGAGAGATTTTTATCTTCATCTTCAGTGAACTGCATCTTGATGTTGCAGTGCACCTTACCCCACTGCGCTCCTACTGCGTATCCTGCTAGTCTTCCCTTCCTTTCCTTAATTCATTCTAATCCAGTTTCAAGTCTTATAGACAGCGAACTGAAGGAGTGACTGCCAAGCAGGCACAGAGTGCATAGCGCCCTTCTGTGTCTGTGGTGTCTGTCTGGTTAGCGTCACAGCGACGTGCCAGGCAGCACCAGGCTCAGCGAGGTTGCACAGTCGCCGGACAGTGCACCTGCTGGATAGTAGTGTGACTGACGTCATAGCGACGTTAGGAAGCTAGTAAACTATCCTAGCTTTCTAGGTGTGGGCCGACGCTCGGCCTCCTGTGAAGCCTCGCTTCATTCTTATGAACAAGTCAAAGCTAAAGACCACTCCAGCTATTTACTTGCACCCTGCAAACTATCACCTGCTTACCAAGCACGTGGCGGGAGCGAAGACGAAGGGCGCGTACAGATAAGCGCGGGCAGCGACTTTCACGGAGATGGATGCGCTAGGGCAACCATAACCTAGAGAGAAATACCCCAAACTAGGGTACTAAGGAACGTTGAGGTCAACGTTACGGGGTAGTGCAGTGTCATCTCCATAGTGTGACGTCGCGATAGTGAGGGAACAGGGTAATGTAAATTACGGGGATGATGGGGAATCACGATAGGGATACTCTCAGGATCGGGATCCTCTAACTAAGGAAAACTCTCTACTAGCGGCTATATCACTTGCACATATTAAGGAATGATGCAAGATATAGAATGATATACTAGTAGTTGGATTACCACCACCTCATGTGACCACCTCGCAGCCTTGGCAGGCCCGGTGCCTCCCTATAGACAGCGAACTGAAGGATTGACTGCCAAGCAGGCACAGGGAGCATAGTGCTTTTCTGTGTCTGTGGTGTCTGTCTGGTTAGCGTCACAGCGACGTGCCAGATAGCGCCAGCCTGAGGCTCAGCGAGGTTGCACAGTCGCCGGACAGTGCACCTGCCGCAGTGCTGGATAGTAGTGTGACTGACGTCATAGCGACGTTAGGAAGCTAATAAACTATCCTAACTTCCTACTAGTAGAGTAGCGTACTGTAGTGTAGTATAGTCATTAAGATATATCTTGCTTCTTCAGCACTAAGCATGCCCGGGCCATTGTACCACCGCCCGGGCCACGCCTCCCCGGGTAGGCTAAGTGCGATTGTTGTCGCGATCATCCCCGGCAAATCCAGCGATTCCCACTCGTCCCCTTACTGGAGCTGACTCGACTCAGTAGGCTCAGTTCGAGCCGCCGCGTCCGGCCGCGCGGCAGCCCGGAAGGGGCCCCACTCGACCCCGCTTCGCACCGGCCGCCGCCCCACGGACCCCGCGGGATCCCCCGACAGAGATAGCGCCAAGCGTGGGGCAATTAAGGGCGCGGGGAAGGGAGTCGCGAACTCAGCTGCGTTGGTTTTCTCGTGTCCGGATCAGCGCACGTGCATATCAGGAGCTCTGGTTCCTAGCACACTCACCGTCAGCCAGGCCCGAGCCCAGTTAATCGGGATGAAGCCTGTGCTTTCAGGTCTGGGCTCAGGATGGGTCTGCTCTCTGAGAGGCAAGAACACCTAGGCTGCAGGTCAAAGTCGCACCAAGTCTGGAGCGTAGGTGTTGTCTTTGTCGGGCGATTCTGAGAGATCACTCGAGTCTACGAATGGGTTGGGAGTATCGGGGGTGTTTGCACTGAAGGTGTGGCTTTTTTGCTTCGCAGGGTCTTCTTGCAAAAAAGTAAGGCCAGCGAGCTTGCGTTCGGCCTCTGCGAGAGCTGCACGGGTTGCAACGAGTCTGTCGCTGAGTTTTGTCCCAAGAACAGTAAGTGACGCGCCGTGGCAACGAAGCTCGAGACACTTCGAGGCAACGAGGTGCAACCGCCTATTGCGTTTGTTAGCTTTGGCATCTTCCACCGGTGGAAGCGATGGAGGCCTCACCAGCGCTCGTGTCCGTCGCCACTTGCGACATCGGAGGGGAGCATCGCTCTCACACATAGGCTTTGCATCAAGGTCAAGCTCGTCTGGTGAGAATGCACTGAAGAAGAGTTCGGTACAATTTCCATAAATCCAACCGTTTTCCGTAGTAGCGTTTTCCTCGAGGCGCCAGCCCCCGAGCCACTGCCAACTTGTTCCTGGAAGCGATGCTGCATCAGCAACATCGTAAAAGTACTTTTTTCCATGACCATCTGTAAAAGCAGCTCGAGGCTCGTGACCATTTAGTAGTTTCAGAGTCCGCGGGAATTTAATCGCACTACTGCGGCGCAATACCGGCGGCGCCTCGAGACGACTTGCTGCTGCGTCATCAAGGAGCGCATCCGGAAACTGAGTTGGTGATGTCCAGCCATCAAGTTCCATCCCCGTGCGGGCCTGCCATTCTATGACAGTGTCTTCGACGACGGCTGCTGCCATAGCTTCCTCACACCAGGGGCGAATGTGGAGGAGCATCGCGAGTCGAGGAGAGACGCCACATGTTTTGAGGGACGCAGCTTCAGCTAACGCCAAATCCACGTCCCCTAGCGTTTCCTCGAGGTCGTCATCTTGATCAGTGGTATTTGTTGCTTCTTCCACGTCCTGTTGCTCTGATCTACTCATGTTTTTAGTGGCCTCCGCGATGTATTTGTAGTGTTCGACTTGAGCCCTGAGTGCCGAGAGTTCCTTGCGCTGCACCTCCGCACCATCCGTGTCAACATCCGTCGTCGTAATGGGTGCCACCTCAGGCCCACCTGCTGCAACAATAAGCTCAGATGCGAGTCGCTTCTCAGCGTCGAGCTCCTCCCGAAGTCTGATGAGCTTGTCTCGCTGTCGGATGAGCTCACACCTACAAAGCCATACGCGGCGACTTAAGCGAAGCTAGACACACCACAAATTTGGGGTTCTTGCCTTAGGTCCTCTGTCCCACTGTCGCTCGAGTGGCCAGAAAGCGTAATAATTCGCGCAGATAGCCTTTTCCTCAAGACAACGTCATTCTCGTCGGCAGCCGCCCACAAGGATCCCACGGACGAGCCCGACACGGCCTTCGAATCTCGATCGTCACCTCGAAAGTAAGCCCTCAGTTTCTGCGCTGGACCATCACTTTCACGCTCAACTCTTGCCTCCCCGCCACCTGACCGCTGTCTGATTGTGTCTAGGAATAAACCCAATTTCCAACGGCCGCTTGGGTCTAAAAAATGACATTATATGGGACGAAAGCAGGACGCTGGCCCAATGCACGGTCCCACGTCGTCTGGTTCAAGGATGCATTGTGGAAGTAGGGATCCCCAGTGCTAGGATCGCGATAGGCGATCCACCCTGGAGGCAGTGGCTGCGGTGATTTTTCCATACGAG